GTGATGGTGATGTATGAACTCATGGTGGGCCCTTGTCATCTCCTTCTGCCGCCGGAGCTCCATTACTTTCCGATGAGAATTGGAATGTTTCGTTAGCACAAACGTCGGACTCGCTGCTGGCCGGTACTCCGGCACCAACCTCCCCGATTTGTACCTCACCCCGCAAGCGTTGCAAAGCGTCTTTGGGCCCATTGGGCCCGTCCGCCACTGTGGTGTTTTGTCTGTGGCGCAGTGGAGACACCGTCTCTCCTCTGCGTCACCCGACTCCGAGGATGGCTCCTTCTTTCGTCGGATTCCTCCGTCGATGGCTTGTTTTTTCCCGATAGGAGCCATCGACGGTGGAGGCGAGGTCGGCGGAGACAAGTGGTGGCTAGAGAGAATTGTTTCTCCGGTGAAAGGGTTGTCGTAAACCCCTTCCATGAGAAGCCCACGTGAGGCCCAATTGCACGCCGCGGCGCGTGAGCGTTTGCTCCGTGCTTTGGCCGGAACAGAGACGTCGGTAGTGAAAATCGGACTGTTGCTATTCGGGCTAAGTTCACCGGATTCGGGTTTCGGGTCGGGTCGGGTCTTTAAACCGGATATAAGTTGGAGCTTTGGCACATCTTCAGCTGAGAATGAGTCCTCCACGAAGTTCGATAGCCACTCAAGCTCAGCCAATTCATCGGACTGAATTTACACATAACAAATCATTTTTACTTTTTCATAAAATTAAAACATTTCTAAAATTCCAAAATTCCATAATCACCAATTAAAAAAAAATCACCCCTAATTATACAATTATTGTGAGTGAAAATGATTTTTTTTTTAACATACCGGTACGCAAAGGTCGCCGGAGAAGCTAGTGTCACCGTGTAAATTGGGGAGACCTCCGGCGGAGAAAGAAGAGTTAGAGTTGTCGGCAACGGCGGTGGTGGTTGTGTTGGAACCGTCGGAATCAGCAATTACATCGTTTTCTTCGTCATCATCGTTAGAGAAATCGACCAAGAGGTCATCGACGACGAAATGATCCGCCGTGTGGAAAAACTCGTGAGCTTCTTCTTCCATTAAAATTACAAAAAGGGTTGTTTTTTTTTTCTCCGGTGGGGTTGTTACGGTGAAGTCTTGCCGGAAGTTTTTA